GATTGTGTGGAGCTTATCAAGCAGAGATATACGGGGCGTGAAAGCTTGTTTTAGGGGACCTGAGCTGGTCTGGAGATCAGGGCATGATTCCTAGAAGGAAGGGACTGACTTTTGCTGAGAGCTGAGATATGAGGAAACCTTAACACGTTTACTCAGGGAAGAATACAGGGAAGCGTATCACGGAACAGGAACAGCAAATGCAAAGGCCCTGTGGCTAAGGTGCACAGTGAGTGTGCATTGGAGGGAAGACTGGTAGGCAGCAGCAGGGAGAACCTGGAGGGAGTGTGGTGGGACATGCGGCGCCGAAGTCAGGGCAAGGGTTGGTGCGGGACAGGCTAACTTTGTCAGGGCTCCTGGCCCTGGCTGGTCATTAGAATGAGCTGGGGAACATTGGAAACCACCAGTTTTGATTTCCTTGATCCAAATTCTGATTCACTTGGTCTGGGCTGGATTAGAGTATGGGTGTGATTGGAACCCCCTCCAAGGGGGGATGTTCTGGTACAGCCAGGTAGAGAAAGACCTGTGTGGTGTGTGTTTTTATCCATGTCCTAACAGGGCCGTGGCAAGGACTTCAGCTGGGGAGGTGGATGGGGAGGGGTTTCACAATCAGATTTACTTCAGGGGAGAAATAAAAACCAGCAGCAAGAGGTAAACTCTGCTTTGGGGTCGGGTCCAGGTCCTGTGGAAACAAGAGAAGCCCAGTAGTGACCTGGCCCAGCAGCTAGAGAGGTGCTGGGTCTGCTAACCAGATCGGTACCTCAGCTGCGGGAGGGAGGGGCCGAGAGGCAGGTACCCTTCCCACCTGACCTTTCCACCCGTGTCCATTGGTTTCATGACTACTTGAAAGGGGACCTTTTCCTGCAGCAATTCCAGATGTCAAAAGGAGGTGTGGGAGGTCACATTGGCCAGAGCGGAGGGGTCAGTTCCCAGGGGCTCTGGCCCTGGACCGGTCAGTGGGGCGCAGGAGGTGGGAAGCAGGTGGCGAGAAGTGGGGAGTTTCCCGGTTGCGGGGGGCATCCATTGTGACTTAAGAGGGGAGAGGGACACTGAGCAGAGGTCAGGGACAGGGCAGCGGGGTGAACAGAGGCCAGGGGCTGGCTCTCCAAGAACCGGCGGGGCAGCCGAGAGAACATCTGCTTTCACTCACAGCCTGGAGCAGAGCTGGGGGCAGGGTGCAATTCTGCAGGCAAATTGTGCAATTTGAGGGCCTTTCCCATCTGCCCTCCCTGCTCTTGCAGAGGACATGGCCAGCAGGGAACTGCTGAGAACTGGACACCTCCATGGCTTATCTATACTATCCATTTAATCCTCCCGGCTCCCTGGCCCAGAGAATGCAAAGGCTTGCCTGAGGTCACACAACCATATTTAGACCCAGGGCCATGTTCAGGCACACAGCCACGGGCCCATGAGACTTTTAAATTCTCTTAAAAGAAATGAAAAGATTTTCCAGCTTGGATTATATTTGTCTTTTTATCAAAGCAGTAGTAACAGACAATTGTTAATTATTTTTAATTGAGGAAGGGCCTGATAAAAGAAATGTTCACATTTAGGGTACAGGGAAGTCATTCTGGCGTTTACATGTGTGAACTTGAATTTGATGCTAACTAAAATAGCCTGCGTGTGGCCTATCAGACATACATTATGTATCTCCTTTAATTATTAAAGAAAAGGGCACCTTGACCAGGAATAAAAAATGTCCACGTTAAAAATAAAGATGAAATGCCTCCCTTCCTGAGACACCCATGCTGGTCCTCCTTGGATAAGACTCCCTTCCCAGGTGCCAAGGCCGTACTGACTCACTGTGTATGGGCTATTCTGGGCTTTTTTTGTTGTTGTTTTTGTTTTTTGTTTTTTGTTTTTTTAAACCTTGAAGAAGTGTATCCCTGACTTGTTTAATGTTCTTTGTTCTCACTGGAAACACTGCTTCTCCGAAACAGTTTCTCAGAGTCATCTGGGAAGCAGGCTTCTGGGCTATAGTCCTCAGTTGGGCTCAAATAAAACTCTTTTCCTTTCTTACTATTAATTGTTTATCGATGATTTTCGTCGACAGGGCCCAGGAAGGCAAAAGCACAGAGGGCCTGGGAAATATCTTGGCTCTGTTTGGATAGTGGTACCACCTTCCACTCAGGTTAGGCGCAACCCAGGCTTAGCTTCCCGCCTCCCTCTCCTCCCCAGCAGCGGTGGATTCCAGTCCTGTCCACCTGCATCTCAAGTCTGCTCTCTGTCTGACCTCATCCTTCACTTCTCAGGTACGTGGCCACTTCCCCAGGGGAACTCTGCTGGCTTCTGGGACTAGGTCACCCCACACCAATATGCCATTGTTGCAGTTCGACTCCTGTGGACACATGGTGTAATGGTTTTGAGCCCAGACTCTGCAAACCAGTGTCTGAGTTTCAATGCCAGTTCTGCCAGTTGTCAGAGATGCATAGTTGGGCAAGTTGTTCATATCTCTGACCCTCAGTTCTCCTGTCTGTAAATGGGGATAGTAAGAGTTCCTACCTAACAGAGTTTTGATAGATTAAATGAATGAATATTTTTAAAGCACTCCATTGATAATATGAGTCTGAGACTCAGTCTCCTTATCTGTAAAATGGGATGATGATAGTAACTATCTAGAAGAATTATGATAGATTAAGTGACTTAGTATTTTTAAGCACTTGAAACCATGCCTGGCACCAAAAAGTGCCATCTAAATGTTTATTAAAAGCACTGATTAATCTCTGTCTCCTCTACTTGTTGTTAAGCCCTATAAGGGCAAGGACTCGGCCTGGTTTTACTCTCCCTGGTGTCCCCAGGCCTAGTACATAGTAGGTAGTCAAAAGTTTGAATGAATGAATGAATGTTCTCTGTTCCTCATTCTTGTGCCTCTATAATTCTTTCTTCTGGAAGTCACTCACACTTTAGTATGAATTAATGCCACGCTGTCCCCTTTCCTAGAGCACTAATTTGCCTGATCTGACCACCATGGAAGAAATTTTCTGCCTTCCTGGGGAAGGAATATGACACCTCAGTGATCAGGTAGGGGAGTTTTATTGGGGTCGCAAGGGCACAATTTCTTTTGAGACTCTGTAACTGTGAGCCATGTCCCCTGCTCCTTAGCGTGAGGCCCTAGGCACTTGTGCCCTTTATATTTTTAAAGGAAACATTTTCCTCCCTTTCTGGAGGGAGCAAAACCACTAGCAGGCAGTGGCTGTCAGACCCTGGCATGCACGCCTGGCTAGCTGGCCCCTGGCAGCCGAGAAGATAAAAGGCCTCGCCAGTCCAAGGCTTTCCCAATGGAAGCCTCGCTCACAGAGCTGCAGGAAGTCACACTCAGGCTTGATGAGTCCCAGAAGGACAGCCCACTAAGCTTGGGATCAAGTCCAGGTCTCCAAAGCTCAGATAAACTAGAAGGACCTCTGCCACTTGGAACATGAAGTTCTTAGGCTTGGCAGGAACTGGGGAGGAGTCGCCTGCCCTGAAATCATGATGGCCCCAGGCTCTGGCTGGCCCCTGGGCCCCAGCTGGGAGTGTCCAGGCTAGCTGTCAGGCTGGGATCCCGCCTCATCCTGATCAAAGGAAAGCAGCTGCTTTCCTGGGTAGATTTGGACCTTGTTTATTTCTCGTCTCAGGGTTTTTTCTCCTTCCACATGAAACCTGAGGGCCTGCTGTGTTCCCGGAGTGGTCACTCCTTGTCTTAAAGACTTGGGAAGGCCATTTTAATAAGTTGACATTTGCAAGAAATGATACGGTCACAGCTGGATGCCCTGTGCCCCTATAGTCTGAATACAGCTGAGGAGCTGATAGCTCAATTGAAGAACACTTATTGAGCGCCTGCTGTGTGCCAAGCCATGTACTAAGGAAAGTGTTTGGGAGGTGGGCCATTAATGGGGACTTTGGCAAACACACATGGCTGCTGTGACCATCTCTTCCCTGTAGACTGGGGGACACACCCTTGTAGGGGCTCCATGATGATTAAATTTATTCTGTGCATCCAGCCAGTACCTACTGAATGCTGATGTGGCCAGGCGCTGTGCAAGGCATGGGGGTGCAGAAGTGAGAGGCGTGGGGACTTGACCTTGAGCGCCTACATCCACATCCAGGGCGTAGGAACTTCCTTGTGTCACTGTTGTGAATGACCACCAACTTAGTGTCTCAGATGAAAGAACTGGGAGCGGCAACATCCCATAGACAAAGAGGCTGAACTGGGGCTCTGCCCGGGGGTGTCTAAGTCTGCAGCATGGGTCCCTTCCGAATCACCTGGTGGCATGTCACAGTAGTCAGACAGGGCTGGGGTGGAGACCCAGCTCTGCTCCCTGCTGCCTGACCTCTGCAAATATTATACTTCTGTCTCCCCATCTCTGAAATGGACATCAAAGCCGTGCCTATCTTGGGGTTGCCGAGAGCAGAGGATAGAATGTAAAGTTTGTGAAATATGGATCCTGGGATAAAACACACACAAGCCAACCTTCATAGTGCACTTGTATATGAAACGCTTTACATGCACAATTGCATAGAACTCTCCCAAGAAACACAAGATGCCCACATCAGAGAGGAGATCACCAGGGTTCAATGATATGAGTTCCCCTCCCACAGTCACTACCTCCACCAGTCCCCATTCAGTGACAAGTCTTCCAAAGAAGTTTTTGTGGGCAGAAGAGTTTGTTAGACCAGCATAAAACTTGGACGAGGTAGCAGCCACAAGCTCCCACCCATCCCGCCAGCTGGTTCCCCCCTGTGCTCACCCCCATCCAGCCCTGGCCACCCCCCTAAAGCCAGCACATCTCCTTGGGAGGAGACCACCCAGCCCGCAAGGAAGTGCTTATTATCCCAGAGTGACAGGGCCACTCCCGGCCACGTCTCCAAGCCAGCCTGGTGCTCCTGCCTGCTGCCTCTGCCTTCTGAGCTGCCGGGGCTGCAGACGTCTTGGTCTTGGTTGGAGTCTCTGGGGCCAGATATAATAGGGCAAGCTAAAAATAACCAGGCGGGCGGCCACCACCGGGAGTGGGGGGTGGGGGTGGGGGCCTGTGCTGGGCGCAGACACATGATCCCAGGGACCTGGCTGAGTGGAGCTGAGACCATCCGGCAGCCTGAGCACACTTCTGCTCCCTGCTTCCAGGACCCACCCGGCAAGAGGGCCCCTCTCCTCTGACCATCCGAGAGGAAATGCCTTTGACCAGCCACAGGACGGGCAGCAGCCGAAGGAAGGTCATCTGGGCTCTGTGCTTCCTGCTTCTGCTCCTTGAAGCAGGTTCTGCCAAGAATATCTGGAAACGGGCATTGCATGCGAGGCTGGCAGAGAAGTCCCGAGTAAGTACCTGGGCTGGGGGTGCTGGGAGGAGATGGGCGATCCCCATGCTGGATGGCATGCAAGTACCCCCCATACATGGGCTGGACAGGGCAGGAGTCTTTCTTTCTCTGAGCTGTGCCAAAGTCGGGTGGGGAGTGGATGGAACGCACAGTCCTCAAAAAGCTCTGTGCCTGGAAGTAAAGTAGCAAGGGACACCTAGAAACGCACAGGGGATAGGGATGTGCTTTTGCCTACCAAAGTTTACTTTCTCCTGACAAACAGCATCTGATTTAAAAGTCCAGGGACTTAAAACTGAGTGTTGTGTCTTAACAATCAATAACCAAATGTCAATAGGATGCAGTCGTGCATCCGTGCGGTTAGTGACTCATTCAGTAAACATTTAGTGGAAACTGCTCCCGGCCAGGCGCTGTGTGCGGTCCTGTGCACACACCAGCTCCCATCCTTGAGGGTGGCATAGTCGAGTGGGGGAGGCATTGAGTGACATGTGACAGCAATACAAAGGGATGGCATGATGTGGCGAGAGGTGAGAAACATGTGCCCTGCAGCCCTGTCCAAGTTTGAATCCGGGTTCTGCTGCTCACATGCTGTGTGACATCAGGAAAGTCATTTCACCTCTCTGAGCACCAATGAACTCATCTGAAAAAGACAAATTGAAGTGTTTCTTTCAGCTCCTTTCAACAAATATGTAAGTTTGATTGCAACTGTTTTCCTAGGCCACTGTTGTCTTAGGCTGTGGGGACACAGACATCAGATCCCAGCCCTGGGGAACTCACGTTACCCCCATGGGCGTGGGGTTGCCAAGAATGAATGAAAAGTGAAAGGAAAACATTCACAAGTACACCTCGTTCTATTGCACTTCGCAGATACTGCTTTTTTACACATTGCAGATTTGTGGCAACCCTGTGCTGAGCAAGTCTATCGACACCATGTTTCCAACAGCATTTGCTCACATCATGTCTCTGTGTCACATTTTGGTGATTCACACACCATTTCAAACTTTTTCATTATTCCTTTATTTGTTATATTGATCTGTGATCAGCACTTTTCAGCCATAGAGTATTTTTTATTCACTTTTTAAAATTTAAATATAGTTGATTTGCAACGTTGTGTTAGTTTTAGGTGTACAGCAAAGTGATTCAGTTACACAGATACATAGGGAAAGTATTTTTGAATTAAGGTGTGTACGTTGTTTCTTTAGATGTAATGCCATTATACACTTGATATGCTACAGTATAATGTAAACATAGATGCACTGGGAAACCAAAAACATTGTGTGACTTGCTTTATTGTGGTGATCTGGAACCAAACCCACTGTATGTCCGAGGTCTGCTGGTAGCGTGTTTGGTGACAAGTGTCGAGGAAAGAAATAAAGCAGGAAGGGGACTAGGAGAGAGAGTAGGGGTGGGGGAGGGTGACATTTTAGCTCCCCCACCCCAAAAGGGAGCACAGAGGCGCAGAAGTTTCAAGAAGATGATACTAGCACTCTTAGCATGTGTATGAGGATTAAATGACTCCATACGCATTGAGCTCTTGGTGCATAGTGAGTGGTCAATGCACCTTGGTGACTTTTACTCAAATAATTATGAAACTGGATGGTGTTTGCTTCCCCAGGTGGAAGGCAGGTTCCTCACTGTGGGACCTGATTCTGTCTCATTTGGTGCAGTGTTCCTGGTGCATTGCCAGGTATCTGCCATTAAGTTGGCACCCAATACATTCTTGTGGGTAAATTATGGGCAAATACAATGGAATCACAGAAGAAGGTGTGCAGCTCTGCCCCAGCATTGGGGACATTCAACCTAGGGCTTTGAAGGATGAATAGGAGTTTGCCAGGTGGAGAAGAAGGAGAGAGGATGTTTAATGACCCCAGGCACCATGTGATCTATGAAACTGTATTAAGGCTAATCTCAGTCTCCAGGACTCACACTCTACAGATTAAGCAGGAAGTCACACGGGTGTAGAAAGTCCTAGTAGCAAGTGAAATGGTGGTAGGTGTGTGGAAGGGGGAGACGGTTTGTGAGATACTGTAGTCATGGAGGGCTTCCTGGAGGAGGTGGACTCTGGCCAGATCTTGAAGTGCTATTAACAATTAGAAGGAGGAAGGATGTTCCTGGAAGAAGACTCAGCATGGGCTGAGGCACAGCAGCAGAAGGTCTGCATCTGCAGCCATCGAGAGGGCAGTCCTTGCTCTAGGAGAGGGCTCGTGTGCACAGAGGGAGAGACTCTTTTCTGGTTGGACTCCTGTGTGCTCTTTGCTGGCCCAACAGGACTATTTAGGCCTCAAAATATCCAGCACTTTGGTTCTAGGACCACAGAGAGATTTCCAGTACATCATCAGGCCTGATCTCCCCCTCATCCTGGAGTGTCACAGGAGCGGGTGCTGTGACATCTCACCAGGAGGAATGAGGAGGCCTGGAAGGTTGGGGACGATGGTTGCTGGGTATGGACCATGGTCCAGCTTCCTCAGCCCAGGATGGGACTCCTCTCAAGAATGATCTGGATAATTTCTCAGAGGTTCCCCTCGGGTCTGAGCTCTAGGGGCCCAGAGCAGTCACCTATGCATTCATGGTCTCCAGATGTCCCCTTCCTTCCTTGCCTCTCATCCTCATTCTTCCGAGGAGCTGCCTGGGACCCTCCCCAACCCAAATATACTACCTGCACTAAAACCCTAGTCTCAGATCTGTGTTGTGGGTTCAATTTTGTCTCTTCCTCCACCCCCCCAAAAAAAGATTTATTCAAGTCCTAACCTCTAGTACCTGTGAATGTGACTTTATTTGGAAA